TTCTCAACCCTAAACTACCATGACTAATCCTAGCTCAATATATCATTTAAATGCATCTTACAAGGCAAGTCAAGCTACCCTTAGGAGAGTCTAAGTCCTCTATCCCAAAGCTACCATGAAATGGTCTTGGCCAAACCAAGTCAAGCTACCAACAATGCATCCTAACAATGCTAGTTTAAGCTTACCCATAGGAGAGTATAAATCCTCAATCCTAGGCTACCATGACTACTACTAACTCATGCTACCATGACATGCATTCTACAATGCTAAGTCAAGCTATCCCGTAGGAGAGAATTGCTCATCATCCTAAGGTATCAACCTTGGTCTTATCCTACTAAGCCAAGCTATACATGAAGGGATCATATGTCACAACTTCAAGCTATTCTAGTCTAAGATGCTTTGATTCATTTTAGGTTAGTAGGTCAATCTAGAATCCTTCTATGTGAGAGAACTTGAATCTCCTAGCATATTCATGTCTAAGTGTATAAGAGGAAGAGAATTACACCACAAGATCACATCATATTGACTTTACCCCCAAAGCCCTAACAATGATGGCTAGAAACCCTACTTTCAAGCTTAACTTCATTCTATCATGATCCATGTCTAAATTACAAGCTATTCAATCACATTGTTCCTTAGAAGGTGATTCCAGTCATACTTGATCATAAAGGTTCAATTCCAACTTTACAAGTCAAGATCATTCCTATTCAATTAAGTCTAGTTCAATTCATGATTAGAATCCTAACTATCATCAATTAGTATTCAAGACATTGAAATAGGAAGATCACTTTAGAACCTTCAATTTTGCCTCTAATGGGATCAACCCACAATAATCACATTCATCAATTTAGATTAGGGTTCATCATATAAATCACATGAATTCATCATAATATCATTAAACAAAGACAATTCAATCATAATTGGGTGATATCCACTAGATTGGAATCACACCCAAGCCCTACCCACAATGCAATCACAACCCTAGCTAGAATTGGGTTTTTGAGTTCACAATTAGGGGGTTTCTAAGGGGGCTCCATGGGTGGAAGAACCCATGGATGAATAAGCTTCACATACCTTCAATCAAAGCCCCAAACAAAGCTTGAATCAATGGTGAAAATCTCCCTATGCTGCTGCCCCAACTTCCTTTCTTCTTCTTCTTCTTCTTCTTCTTCTTCTTCTAAAGAGGGGATTTCTTGGGGAGTAATTTGGGGGTCTTTAGATGAATGAGTTAAAGTGATTAGTTTAGGGGTATATTAACTATTTATAGGTGGTTATTTAACTATCTAACCGACCCCCTAAGCCCTTAATTAATTAACTAATCAAACCCCAAACACCCAACTTAAAACTAAAATGCTGAAAACTGGCAGCATTCACGACTTCACCATCCACAGACCGTAGATTGATCTACTGTCTGTGTTTTGGTGTCTTGGTTTGGGTCAGAGACTCATATTTTGCAGGCAAACTCAGGCCTTATCCACGACCATGAACCATGGGGCGTAGATCAGTCTACTGAGCGTGGTTTGCAACCGTGAATCACACTTTTTGACAGTTTTGGGGGACTGTTTTGGGGTCCTGCCCAAAGACCCCTTGGGTGGTCCTTGGGGAGTCGTACCCGGAAGTTTAACCCCTAAACATGTCATTCTAAGTACGGGAACCATTTATCTTGATTTTTAACCCTCATATGACACACCAAAACTCTTTCCAAAGACTCTAGAACTCACTAGTTCAACTAACTAAAATATGGGGTGTTACAATTGTCTCCCTAGATCTTTCCTTAATTTTCTCCTCCTCTATTCGTTGAGCACGCACCATTAGACGAGAAACACTACAAGAAACAGCTTTATTTAAGACCAATATTTAGGGACGAGTTAATAATCCCGTCTCAGAAAGTACATATATTGGAACGAGATTTTATTTCGGTCTTTAATTTCATATGTTATTGTGAAGGTTCTAAATGTGGTCTCTAGAAAAAGTAGTAACTCATCCCAAATTAAAACTAATTGGGTCTTGAGAAATATATTGGAAGGCGGGAACATATTTTCACCAAAAAATTAGCCGCCTAAAAAATCATCAATTCATTAAAATTCTAAAACGAAAAGAAAACAAAGAAAAGACGCTTCAGTTATTGTTTCTCAATGAAATAAAAAAGAACCCTAGCAGTGATCTTCCCTAGCTAACAACCAGCTTTCCTTACAACGATCTTAGTGTACGTAGCTCTCTACTAAAAATCTGTGTTTTCTCAAAACAGGGAAAGCACAGGTCTGCCTAGCAGCAAACGTAACCCAGGTCTCATTGATCAGTGTTTCATCTCTGTTTTCTCAGAACAGAGAAAGCAGAGGTCTTCCTAGCAGTGATCTCCACTCAATATATATCTTCTATTCACTCGGATCTCAGGTATGCCTCCACTTGTACGATTTGATTTGATTTTTTCTGTACAGTTGATTTGTTGTTTGTTTTGTTTGAGTTGTAACTCGTCTTGTTTGAGTTCTTGTTCTCTAAGACTAAATAATGATCGTTTTCTTAAAAAAGATTCAGTTTCGTAGTGTGATATGATGCCAAAAGTGAAGGGGATCGATCAGTCCTTAAAGAAGTATGTGTTCCTAAAGATAAATAATGATGAACTAAACTTGAAAAGAGGCACTAACAACTCAATGAGCTAAAACAATATTAAGAGATAATATAGAGAGTGTTCTATTCAAGTTGAAAAAATTGTTATGAATTACAAGTGAACTACTAATAGGGCAAGTGAGACAAGTGATTGTAGAATGTTACAACTGAATAAGTGAAAAAAAGATAGTTTCATTTGGGTCTGAAACTGCTGAAATATGTAAAACACAATAGAACTTATGCAAACTGACCTCATGTGGTGCTTCACATAGAAGATTGAATGAGTGATAATTTCGTTTGGGTCTGAAAATTGGAAAGCTTCATAACTTTCAAGAAGATGCATTCTAATAGTTGTTTAAAACATTCTTTCAATTTGTTCTAATTGGTTCTATTATTTCTGTCTACTTGTATATCGGTTGTGCATCCTCTTCTATGAGTTTTTTTCCTTCTCTAAATTTAATTTGTTGATTGTTTTCTTCTTATAGCATAGTGTATAGTGTGTGCCTAAAGAATCGATCATATTTTGACGATTAAATTAACGCGAGCTGATGAACAATGAAGAAAGCAATAGAAAACTGATGCAAATTAGCTCTTGTATATGATGTACATAGTAGGTAGAAACAACGATAGTTTCATTTGGGTTTCAAAACTTGGAAAACTCAAGATTTTTCAATAGTTGCACCATATTTTTTTCTGTTCTTGTAAAACAGAATCACTAGCTATTTTCTGTTTGTTCAACTTTCTGGTAAGCTTCCTCTTTTGGGAGCTGATTTTTTCTCCTTCTCTATATTTGATTTGTTCGAGATATACTATACTTGTTTGAATTACTCTTCATCTTTGAGATTAGCTGGTCAATTTTTTTGAAGTATATCATAGTGTTTTGTGTGTGTCTAAGGAATCGATCATATTCTTTTCCTCTTTTAAAGTATATCATAGTGTTTTGTGTGTGTCAATCATAAACACCTTACAGGCTGAATTCATGAGCGAAACGGGTGGATCTGCACCAATTTCACTAGCCAAAATTGATTCCTTGAGCCAATGGTAGTTCAATTCCATAGTTGATTGTACAAGTTGAGCGTCTCATATATTGTTTTGAAGAATGACTTACTGCATAACAGCCACCACCAGTTTTCCCTAAAAGTTTTCTCAAGATTCATATTTCATATAGAGTCCATATAAAATTTTAAGAAACTCATTGTTTCATGAATAACATACTAGTTTTATATATACCACTACGTAGGATGGCTCCTAATCAGTAGGCATAAATGTAATCGTCATATCATGGTGTATACTCCACTGATTTGAATCAAAACTTCTGTTGGTAAATTGAACAAAACGACAATGTTTGTCTAATGTTATTTTAACATAAAGTATTTGCAAGTAGTTTTAAAAAACCTACCTGAGGTAATCCTCATTTTGAGTTCCAGTAATTTAAATTATTCTGCAATACTTGAACAAGGTGCGAGGAAAGATCATGGGATGGTATTTGTATCTTGTTAGGAATTTAATCACACTAATATACTTGAAATATAGTAGATGTCAGTTGATAAAACACTAATATTAAAAGAATGTCCTCTATTAAGTAACAAAAATAATAGATCTAATAACTGTACCTCATCTTTGGGCAAAGTGCTAGCACCAGTTATAGCAATGTCCTGCTTCTTTCCTGTACCCTTATCAGTAGACGTGACAGAAAGAATACTGTTGGCATCAATGTCGAATTTCACTTCAATCTGGGAACATCACTGGGAGTTGGAGGGATTCCATCCAAGCAGAACCTTCCAATAGACTTGTTATCTTGTACAAACTCTCTTTCACCTTGACACACATTAATCTCAACACTGGTTTGCCCATCTGCTGCAATTGAAAAAAACTTCTGACGAACATTGATTTTTTTCTTTATGCATTTGTTTGAGGATGCGACTAAGTCATTCTTAACTTTATGAGAAGTTAGTTATGAGCCAAGACTTTTTAATCACAATTTTTTTAATAACAAATGACTATTTTGTATAAGTACAAAGCTATAGAAGATTACATGTTTTAAGATGAGTAATCTTTTATGTTTCTTAGTGCAATCTAATTATTATTCTTTGTTAAAAATTGCATTTCATTCATTTTTGGAATCCAAAAAGTCACGAGTTATTTTAGTGAGTTGTACAATAATCCTCCCTATCATATAATTATATACTCCATCTTATCTTATCTTAAGATGAGTTAAATGAAACACCATGAATAATGTCTTTAGACAAATAGTATAAGTTTTAACTAGTGGTGTATCAATCATAATACACATTTCTGTTTTGTGCATCTAATTAAAACAAGTTGTATTGATCTTAGTATTTTTCTTATCCTTTATCTTTTTTAATCTAGCTTTTTATGTACTATTCAAGGTTATGGATCCTAATAAGCAATGGATGCAACTAGTGGACCATCGGCTCGATGAAACCTATTTAGTAGGCGTGCAAATATTTTTGGATTATGCTTTTGAAAGAACAGGAGAAGAATATGAAATACGATGTCCATGTGTCAAATGTTACAATACAAATTTAGGAACTCGTAAAACGGTTGAGACACATTTGCAAGTATTTGGAATAATTAAGAACTATACTTTTTGGTATTACCATGGAGAACGTTTGGGTGAGCCATTGTCGGAATCTGAATCCAAATTTGAATTTGCATTTGGAGATGGTGTTGAAGTAGAAGAATGTGAGAGTGAGGATGAAGTAGAAGAACTATTGAGAGATTTATACCCTAATCTTGATGGAGGAACTACACACGCTAATGGTGATGATTTACTTGAGGAAGAACCAAATGTTGAAGCAAAAAGATTTTACAGCCTATTGAAGGATTTCGAGCAGCCACTATATCAAAATTCCAAAGCTTCAAAGCTTTCCTCTTTGATTAAATTGCTTCACATCAAAAGTATGGGTTGTTGGAGTAATGTGTCATTTACAATGTTATTGAAAATGTTGAAAGAGTTGTTGCCTGATGGCGCTAATTTGCCAAACTCATACTATGAGGCAAAGAAGATAATCAAAGAACTCGGCCTTTCTTATAACAAGATTGATGCTTGTACTAATGATTGCATGTTATACTGGAAGGAGGATAGCCAACTCGATTCTTGGAAAGTTTGTGGGGCGTCTAGATGGAAGATAGATACATATAGCGGGGAAACAAGGAATAAAAAAGGAAAAAGGATAGCATCAAAGAGCTTATGCTATTTTCCTTTAAAGCCTAGACTTCAATGGTTGTTTATGTCTACAAAGACATCTACTCTTATGACATGACATACGGATAAAAGAGTTGATAATGGAATAATGAGGCACCCAGCTGATTCAATGGCATAGAAGTCATTTGATGAAATTCATCCTTCATTTGCGGTCGAGCCTCATAATGTTCGACTTGGACTTGCTAGTGATGGATTTCAGCCATTCCGAAATTCAAAAACCTCACATAGCATTTGGCATGTGGTTCTTATTCCTTATAATTTACCACTTTGGTTGTGCATGAAACAAGAAAAAATTATTTTTTCAATGCTTATTCCTGGTCCAAATGGCCCAGGAAATGCAATTGATACATATCTTCAGCCTTTAATAGAGGAATTGAAGGAATTGTGGGAGGTTGGTATTGAGACCTATGATGCGTTAGCTAAAAAGAATTTTAAGTTGCATGCTTCTTTGTTGTGGACCATCAATGACTTTCCAGCATATGGAAATTTATCTGGATGGAATACAAAAGGAATATTGGCATGTCCATGTTGCAATAAAGACACTTCATCAACTCTATTGTCTAATGGTAAGAAGCAGTGTTATATGGGTCATCGACGTTACCTTCCTCATAATCACAAATGGAGGAATGAGAAGAAGTCATTTGATGGTACAGAGGAGAGAAGACCCCCATCACAAATGCATTCTGGTATTGAGATACTTAATCAAGTGCAGGATCTTGAAGGGCTACAATTATAAAAGGATCCAAAAAAAAGGAAGAAGATATCACATGAAAATCGAAAGGATAATTGGAACAAAAAAAGTATCTTTTTTGAACTTCTATATTGGAAGAGTCTCTTGTTGCGACATAATTTGGATGTAATGCATATTCAAAAAAATATGTGATAATATTATGGGGACAATCATGAATGTCAAAGGAAAGACCAAGGACACAATTAAAACTCGGTTAAATTTGCAAGAAATGAAAATTAGGCCAGAATTAAACCCTATCCAAAAAGGGGAGAAAATTGAAGTTCCAACTGCATGCTACACATTGTCTCCCGAAGATAAGCACAAGTTATGCCTTTTCCTGAAGAATCTAAAGGTTCCTGATGGATTTTCATCTAATATTTGTCAATGTGTGAACTTGAAAGATCACAAGATATCTGGGTTGAAAAGTCATGATTGTCATGTTCTTCTGCAACATCTACTCCCTCTTGCACTTCGTGTTATGTTGTCCAAAGAAGTGTGTGAGCCTCTTATTGAGTTATCTTTGCTTTTTTGTATTCTTGGATCAAAGGAGTTGAGAATTGATAACTTGGAACATATTGAAGCTCAAATTCCCATTACACTTTGCAAGTTAGAAAAAATCTTTCCTCTTTCATTTTTCGATGTCATGGTTCACTTACCTATTCATTTAGCTACTGAAGCTAAGATTGCTGGACCTATACATTATCGATGGATGTATCCTGTGGAACGATGGTTATATTTTCTAAAATCTTTCATCGGTAATAGGGCATGTCCTGAAGGTTGTATTGCAGAGGGCTACATTGCAAATGAATGTATGACCTTATGTTCAAGGTATCTACATAGAATTGACACAAAATTTAATCAGCCTGAAAGAAATTATAATGGGGGTTTAAAGCAAACTAATGGAGGTTTATCACTATTTTGTCAACCCGGAAAAACTCTAGGAGCTAAAACTCCATTTGAGCTTGAAGTAAATGAATTAGAACAAGCACACATATACATATTGAAGAATTGTGATGAAGTTTTACCATATCTCGAGTATGGAGAGTTATTTCATATCTTCTCATTATTATTTCCGTATGATTATTTATTTTTTATATGAAATTTATGGTTCACTTCAATTTTGTAGAGAGTTTGCACAAACTCATGAAAATGCTCGCCACCTGTCTGATGTAGAATGGAATCGACAATTTATTGAATGGTTTAAAGATAGGGTGAGTAATACATAAACATAAAAGTTGATATTTTAATATTGTAATACTCATTATAAAGTAATCATCCTAATCTTGATGATAGGTTGCACAATTGTATAAAGGAGATTGTAGTCGTATCATGGAAGATCTGCTCTCGCTTTCACGCGGTCCTACACGATATTCGACGCATTCTAATGGTTACATTGTTAATGGATATAGATTTCATGTAGAAGATTATGATAAAAAGTTAAGGACTCAAAATTGTGGTGTCGTTGTATTGGGTGAGAATGATAAAGATAGTGAGAACCTTGATTACTATGGAGTTTTAACAGATGTGATTGAGTTGAAATTCATCATGGATAGAAGAGTGGTTTTATTTCATTGTAATTGGTTTGATGTGTGTGATGAAATAAAAGGAGTTAAGAAAGATGAGTATGATTTAGTGAGTGTTAATCCCGATAGATTCTTGAAAACAAATGAGCCATTTGTTTTAGCAGACCAAGCATCTCAAGTGTTTTATGCTAATGATAATTCCAACAAAGATTGGCAAGTAGTGAGGAAGACTCAACCTCGTGATTCCTATGAGATTGTGGAACAAATGGATGATGATATTGTAGAGTTAGGAAGTCCTTCACAAAAGAAACGTAAAAGAACTAATGAGGTGAAGTATATTTTTATGAATTAATATATTCACTGTTACACTTTACGATGACATGATTTCTTTAATTCCTACATTGTCTTAATTTTTTTCTTATGACATGAAACCATTGAAGACTGAAAATGAGGTTGACTCATCTATGAAGAGTACTATTAGATATACATTTGTCGCGCCTGGTGCTATTGGAAAGGGACGAGGACGAGGGCTTAAATCTTTGGCTGAGAGAAGAGACTTGTCAACTAAGAGTTTTGTGTCTCAATCTAGTGATCTGGTTAATGAGTACATCCAAGAAATTGAAACAAGTAAGATATTTTAAATAAACTATTCAAAATTGATATTAATAGCTCATATTATGTAGCCGTTGTTATTTCTTAAAGCTTCTCGCTCTCAAAAGGAATATTCTAAACTATTAATAAAATTGTTTTCTCCATGTTATGTAGGGAAGGGTCGAGGGCAAAGACTTACAAACTCTACTGTGTTAACTAGTCAAGGAATGACAACGATACCTAAGAACTCCATCGATTTTGAGAAAGAGAACAAGCAAATTAATCGTTCAGCTCATGCATCAACTAATCTAGGTAAGCAATACACCCAAGAATTTGAGACAAGTAAGATTTTTGAAAATCTGCTATATTTTCAAATAAAATTTCCAAGTATTTATGTGTACATTCCATTTGTATTTGCTTGCAAACTGTTCTTGGTTTTGGGACTCGTTGAAATGTATCATACTTTTAGAACTTTTCTTCCCTCAAGCGAGTCAATAGTGAAAAGTGAGCCCTTACTATTTTTTTTTATATAATGCTTTGTTTTTTTTCTGTCTCAAAATCTAATCTTCTTTTTGAGTTGTTATTTCTTATAGCTTCTCACTCTCAAAAGAAATATTCTAAAGTATTAATTATATGATTTGTTTTCTCCATGTTATGTAGGGAAGGGTCGAGGACAAGGACTTACAAACTCTACTTTGCTTACTAGTCAAGGAATGATAACGATACCTAAGAACTCCATTGATCTTGAGAAAGAGAACAAGCAAATTAACCCTTCAGCTCATGCATCGACTAATCTAGGTAAGCAATACACCCAAGAAGTCTAGACAAGTAAGATTTTTGAAAATCTGCTATGTTTTCAAATAAAATTTCCAAGTATCTTGTGTGTACATTCCATATGTATTTGCTTGCAAACTGTTCTTGGTCTTGGGACTCGTTGAAATGTATCATACTGTTATCACTTTTCTGCCCTCAAGTGAGTCGATAGTGAAAAGTGAGCCCTTGTTATTTTTTTTATATAATGCTCTGTTTTTTGCTGTCTCAAAATCTAATCTTCTCTTTGAGTCGTTGTTATTTCTTACCGCTTCTCGCTCTGAAAAGAAATATTAAGTATTAATTATATTATTTGTTTTCTCCATGTTATGTAGGAAAGGGCCGAGGACAAGGACTTACAAACTCTACTTTGTTTACTAGTCAAGGAATGATAACGATACCTAAGAACTCCATCAATCTTGAGAAAGAGAACAAGCAAATTAACCCTTCAGCTCATGCATCAACTAATCTAGGTAAGCAATACACCAAACAAGTCGAGACAAGTTAGATTTTTGAAAATCTTCTATGTTTTCAAATAAAAGTTCCATGTTTGTCTGTAATACCTTTGAACTATTTTCAGTTCCTTACTTTCTAGATGTAGCACATCGTATCTTCCCAAAGAGCAACCACAACTTCAATCCGTCTTAAACTTCTTCTAGTTAAAGAAGAGGATGAAACATGCTTGATATGCTGAAACAAATATTCATATTTTCACACCTCCAGCTTATGTGCAAAATAAAATTAGTAGTAACACTATCTTACTTTTATAAATGTCACAAATTTTTCTTATTTCATGGCTGCATCCATTTTTTTCTCTACTTTGTATTCCTATGTCATGGCTGAAACACTATGCTAAAGTATTGGTAAGATGATGCAATTTCTCCAGGTTCTATAGGGAAGGGGCGCAGACAAGGACTTAAAAGCTCTACTTTGTGTACTAGTCAAGGAATGGGAATTAAATATACCAACTACATGACTTCTAAATCTGAGGTGGGATGTATCAACAAGAGTGCTCTTTATGCTAATCAGCATATTAAAACTCCTTCTATAAGCACAAGAGCAAATTCGACCATGTCGTCTAGTCAAGAAATGCAAAGAATGGATAAATCGATTCTTCAGAAAGAGGATATGCAAATTAATCTTTCATTGCCTCCATCTATTGTTCAAGTTGTGGAACATTCTCAATCAACTGAAAAAGGTATGATATTTTCAAGCCATATCTTATTAATTTGTAAACCTAAATTTGATTGCTATAGTTTTTGATAAATTATGCACCATAGGTTCATCTACTCCTACAAAGGTAAGAAGAGTTCGAGGGAGCAACATGTGCAAAGAAGTTGCTTCACTTGAAAATGGAGAAAAGCTGAAAGTAACATTTTACAATAATTGAACTGTTGGAACAAATAGCAAATTATTTTCGAGGCATTTGGGAAAAATTGTTCGTGACCATAATATATGTCTGTTGGGAGTAACCTTGTGGAGTGATATTAAGCAAGAGAAGTTAAATCACATGTGGGCAGTTGATGAGGTAACAAATTTAAACTTCATTCAAATCTTTCATTAACATAAGTTTCACACCATTCTCATGTGTTACTGAAATGTTATTTACTCGAGAGATCAAATAGAAAAGTGCCATGGTACCTCTATCTAACAATATTTAAAGGTGACAAGGATCTACCTGTAATATTGATCCAAAAAATGTGTTATTGCTCTACGAGCGCTTCAGTCCCAGAAGCGAGTAGTGAGACTTCAGTAACAGTGGGAAAAAAATTAGTTTCGCAATTTCCCCTGTTTTGTTTTTTTCTTTTTTGCACTATAATCTTTTATCTAATTTTTCCTTTCTATTTTGTAATTTTTTTCTCTGCTTTGTATTGCTTTATCTGTTATGCTCAGTAACATTACATCCATATTCACAAAAGCAACAGTAACATTACATTCATAACAGCAACATTACATTACTCTCTTAGGCAATATCAGTACAGCAGACCACCAAGAGTGTACTTTGATTAGGACTGAGTTTACATGTTGTACTCGACCTGCATAAGACAGGTTTTTAGAACCCCATGTCACTCTACTACACAT